GTAGAAATCAGTACCGAGGTGTACCAAAATACTGTCCTAACAAACATAGTGGAACCTTTTCTAAAACAATGTTCATAAACAAACATTGGATATACGAACAGGACACGAAACACGCGAAACTGGTTGACCGCCCATGGAATTGACTTTATCGGACATGAAGACTGGCCCTCTTCTAGCCCAGATTTAAACACACTGGATTATTAGATATGGCAACATTTGGAGGAGAAAGTCTGCGCTAAACCTCATCAGAATTTGTAATCTCTTCGAGCATTTTTGGCTAAAGCAGCGACAGAAATAGATTTGAATGTGGTGCGCGCTGCGATTGATGATTGGCCGCGTCGATTAGGGGCATGTATTCAAAATAGGGGAGGGCATTTTGAATAATGTAAATAAAATTGTATTCTAATTTAAATTGCCTTTCATTTCATATATAATTTCTTTATAATTATCAAAAAGTGTATCATTAATATTATAAACAGTTTTTGACAGAACTTATGACCTGCCTTAGTATCATAATCTATGTATATATTGTGGACAAGTTCAGTTTGTATACATATCATAAATTTGTGAAAAAATTGCAACATATATTCAAAATTGTTTTCGGCATATATAAAACTAGCTGTTACCCGCGGCTTCAGCCCGCATGGTCACTGGGAAATGAACTATCCATTGCTTTTAGAATTGAAAGAAAACTGAGTTTTATAGATTTGTCAGAAATGCAGCCATTAAAAGGAAACCGAGCAAAATTGATTCGTCAGCTTATTCAAATGTTTTGAAACGCAGCGTATAGGAAAGCATGAAAATAGCCTGTTTATTCCAAATGGAAATGGGATATTTTTTAATTAAAGGAAATTGAGCATAATTATCCGTCAGGGATGCAGACTTTTGAAAAGAAACCGAGCTGAATTGATTCATCAAAGATGCAGTTTTCTGATTTGAAAGGAAACTGAGCCAAATAAAAGATCCGTCAGAGATGCAGCCTTTTGAGTTGAAAGGAAACTGAGCTTAATAGGTCCGTTAGAGGTGCAGCATTTGGAACTGAAAAGAAACTGAGCTAAATAGGAAATTTTGAATTGAAAGGGAAGATCTGTGGGAATTATGATTAATCGATTGTGGGAATTTTGGAAAAAAACTAACTGAACACTATTTTAAGACGCTACTGTACACAATGTTATATGTTTTTTCCATTCGGGGAAAGAATGTGGAGATTCTGAGCATTTGACACACGCGAACATGCTACATACAGCTGACCATGAGAGAAGCACGGTTTTTCTAAGTTGACCCCCGCTACCTGTAACGTTTGCCCTTGCGCTTTATTTGCTGATTTTGAGCAGGTGTTTCAGTAGCTTTTAAAGTAAATTGACGCTCTGCCTGTTCAAGATGCCTTTGCTGACTTTGATCACGTGTTTCAGTAGCTCTTAAAGTAGCTTGACGCTCTGCCAGTTCAAGACGCCTTTGATGACTTTGAGTAGGTGTTTCAGTAGCTCTTAAAGTAACTTGATGCTCTGCCTGTTCAAGACAACTTCGCTGACTTTGAGAAGGTGTTTCAGAAGCTCTTAAAGTAGCTTGACGCTCTGCCTATTCAAGACGCCTTTCCTGACTTTGAAAAGGTGTTTCGGAAGCTCTTAAAGCAACCTGACGCTCTGTCTGTTCAAGACGTCTTTGCTGACGTTGAGAAGGTGTCTCAGATGCTCTAAAAGCAGCCTGACGCTCTGCTTGTTCTTGCCTTCTCAGTTCAGCATCTTCTAAAGATTCTAGCGATCGAGCTAATCTTTTCGCTTGTCTTTGAGAAGATACTCTTGAAAGGCTGGACTTACGTTTGCGAGGCATTATGAAGTAACAAAAAACCTTTTTATAAGAAAACGTTAAAATACCTAAAAGGAACTAAATTTCCTCTTAAATATTTTTTTTAAAAGCAAATCCAAAATATCTAAAAGGAATAAATATTCCTTTAAAATATTTTTTAAAATCAAAACTACATAACCAATTCAAGAAACAACAAGAATCCGAAAACGATAGCCAAAAAAAATCAAATCAACTTAAACCAGATCACAAAACAAATCGCAAAAAACCAAAACCGAAAGCAGTAGCCAATATAAATATAACAAACGAAAAAAGAAGTAAGTGTATAGGTACCGTATATACTATCTATACCATTAATATTCCTTTGAAATATTGTTAAACAACCTAAAACAACGAAAACCAATTCACGATTCTAAATAAACAAAATCCAAAATCAAAGCCAGAGTCTAAATATGTATAAAGGAATACCAACCAAATCAACAAAACCGATCCAAGAAAATACACAAATCCGAAAATAAAAGCCAATATAATAATAAAAGTATAAATCCATTCAACCTTAACCAAATCACAAAGCAAATAATAAACAACCGAAATCGAAAGCAGGTAGTCGAATAAGCTACGAAATAGAAACAATTTAAGCGTATAGGTACTGTATGCACTATAAGTTGACGCGCGGCTCAACGACGGGAGTTAAGTACATGTCAGGAAACATTTTTTTAGTTACCGCGTTTTAAAAACCTAGTAACGAAATCTAGCGGAATCAATTTAAACTAAGTATACGTTAGTTAATAAGAACTCTCAAAAATTATTTTCCTTATAATTTTGCACAATTTTTCTTATTGTAATACCGATTCATTCATAACCACATATAAGAACTGTATTCATTTCCGTTCAATAAATATTACTAAGGCCTATTAATAAGGCTTACTAAGAACTGTTTCTACCACAGTTAAGTAATAGTTAAGAGTGAAAGCGTGACAGGTGGTGATAGTATTTCTGATCCATACTTATAATCACGCCTGTAACCCTTGCGGGGTAGGCAGAGCATCAACGGATTACTTAATATCGTCTGCGTGGTTATCGCCTATTCTGTGAATTACAATGCACCAAAACGTTTGAAGAAAATCAGCTGGTGAATTTTATGTTTTTATCCCTCTCTTCCCGGTTCTGCGTGGAAAAATAAAGATCCATACATTTTTATCTTAATTTTGGTAAAAAGACATAATAATCCAGATATTCTGACCTTCTGTGTTCGCCCGTCGTACCGTCGTCCGTCTTGTGGAAATGGCGCCACCTAGCTGAATTTAATTTTGCAATAATAAAATAAAATTTTGCATATTCGATTTTCCCACGGGAATGAGATGTTTTTCAGCGGAAAAAAGTAGCCTATGTCATTCTACAGCCACCGAACTATCCCCATAACAAAATTCATGCCATGCCGACGCTCTGTTGCGACGTGAAAGAAGAACAAACAAACAAACAAACCACAAACACACTTTCGCATTTATAATATTAGTATGTATTATTTCAGTTGATCACTGTCTAGAAGATTTGACATCCAATATAATTTAAAATAAAACTTCCATGGCTTCCAAAAGATGCTCTCAGTTACTATTCGATTAAAATCGAATCGCAAAAAAAAAAACTAATTTGTAAAATGTGTTCACAACATGACTTAAAAAATAATAAGCCTTTTCATTTTTCTTTTTACACGGTTTAATTATGGAATGTCTGCATCGTACATGCTTAAATATCGATTTAGTGTCTATTTTTATGATTTCTTTATCGAGCTAATTACTATGATTCGCGTTTCTGTCTTCACGTAATCTTTTGTATAAAATGGGTTTATTTTTTTGCAATAATTACGTACATATAGATATACATGGGTTCCAAAAAGCGAAAACTTCTATCAAGTCGCCTTATCCATGTGACTACACGGCTTGATCAAATATTTCTTTGCATGAAATTTGTATAAATACCGATAATTGTTTGATTACTGGAATAGTTAATAACCACTTCTTACGATTAATAAATCTGACATTGAAATTTTAGACAAAGGATTCAATTATAAATCAAACGGATGGAATTTAAAACGAATATAATAAGTAAAGAGAATGATAAAACAAAAATAAATAGAAGATCTCGACATTTAACTAATAATTTGCTTCGTTCTGTTCTCGTTTCAATTGTTAGACTCTATTCAAAATATTATTTCATTCACAAAATAAGTACTAGACTACCTAAAGTATTTATAAAAAAATAACTAAATATTAAAATTTCTGCGTTAATTGAAGGTTTCCAATAAATATGTAACCTCTCATTATATAAATATAGGGAAAACTGACTTGACTTGTCAAAGGAAAAGAAAATGCATTTAATTTTATAACCTTCGACTTGAAAACTACTTGTCCTTTATGGATCATGTCTTTAATTGAATTTAAGTGTTTAACTAATTACAAGTCAGAGGTGTTCTTTCAACTCTCGCTTTATAAAGAAGGGTTTTGTCTTTCACACTGAACATATAAATATTTCTTAGATGTGTAAACATTTCGCCTGGAAATATAAAGTTAAGCCTGAAAACTAGCCGTGATAATGGTTGTATTTAAGCAAATAAACTGCTTTGATATTAACATTAAGTTCTGGACATTTCTTGGTATTTATCCTTATAACAAAAAATCTCCTAATTACAATTTCTATTCCAAAACGTTCATCTTTATTTTTGTCATCATATATGACGTACTTTTAACGCTCAATTTTTTTTCTTACCAAATGATTTGGATGCTTTTATTGGAGAAATGTTATTTTATTTTACTGAGCTAGCGGTATTCTCAAAAGTTATGACCTTTTTATTTATGCGACAAAACATTGTAAGAATTTTAGAGATTTTAGAAAGCAAAATTTTACAACCGGTAACTGCTAAGGGATTAACAATATTAAGAAATGCTAAAAAGTTTAACAGAAGATACTGGAAAATCTTAGCAGCTATTTCGCTAACTTGTCATTTTGCACATGTTTTCTCTTCACTTATAAAACACTTGTTCTTGTCAGTTAAATTAGAGTTCCCAGTTAGCAGTTATTCATTCTTGTCAGGTGAAATAAAAGAAAAATTTATTTATCCATTCTATTTCTATCAAGGTATTGGAATTAATTTTCATATGCTTTACAATATCAATATTGATTCATTTTTATCGGGGCTAATGATATTGATGATAGCTCAGTTAGAAATTCTTAATGAAAGACTGATAAATGTTGCTAATAACTTGAACTTTGACCACAAAATCGACAATGCTGGTGATTTGAAAAATGATGCAGAAAATAAATTTATTGTGAATCTCAATCAGACTATTGCACATTATGGCGAAGTTTCCAAGTAAGTATGAAAATGATTTCATATACATCATCGATTTCATAAACAAAAGCATTTTATTATTATGTATTTTTGTGTGTAATTAACTTCTTATACAATACATATATCATACTCTATAAAGTAAGAAGTATAGATGCACTTAGTATCACATACATTCGTTAATAGTCAACTTTTGGGTGTACTAAGTAAAATAATCGTACAAATTTATTTTCATATTTCTTACTGTTTAAAACAAGTTGATTTTGAGTATTGTTGTGTGGTGGTATTGACTAACAACGTGTTAGTTAACGCGCATGGAGCCAAAGAATCTGCGGAAGCACTGCTTCAATCCGGTTGCTGTAGGCCGATCTTACTTATCAAAAATCAAATTCCTAAATTTCTGAATGCTCTTAACCACCGGTGAAATTAAGCAAAAGGAGTGCTTCAGATATTCAGAACTTAGCTAATCAGATAAGTACTTTGACTAAAGTTTTAATGCATAAATATCTTTCTAATAATTCATTTTCAATGGATGGCCATCAGCCGTCACAGACACAGTTGAGCCCCCGCGCTTAGATTTGGGTATAATTGATGCAGCCATGAATGATTCTAAAATACCTTGTGCAAATCCTGATTGTGTGAAACAACTTGAGTGCCTATAAGTATTTGACAACTTTAACTGAAAGGAAGTGCGATATACAGATATTTTAAAGTTTCACGACGCTTCTCCGGGCTTTGTGGAAGTGGAGGTTAATGAAGAGCTGAGACAATTTCTGAAAGGAAAGGATTACCTGGCTAGCTGTGAAAGAGTAGTTGTATAACGCCTTACTTGCACAGCATAAATTAATTTATTCATTTATGCTGTGCAAGCAAGTCATTCGCAGTCTAAGGTGTCTTGCGACGTAATAAATGAAATTATGTACGCGGATGACTTGTGCCTTGTGACGGATTCCTTAAATTCTCTCCAAAGATTGATGACTAGTCTTGATGAGTCATGCCGTAAGTTTGGCCTCAAAGTCAGTGTCATAAAGACCGAAGTGATGGCTACGGGTTCCCACTCTGACCCTTTACGGATCCAGCTTAATCAAGGCGTTCCAAATTCTGTAGAAAAGTTCAAGTACTTGGAAAGCGTAATAAAATCTAAATGTGACCTCGAAGCTGAAATTAATGGAAGAATCGGTGCTGATCAGCTGCTTTGAATCAGCTGCTTTCGGAAAATTGAGATCCAAGGTTTTCCGTTCACATGATCTCAGGTTACCCACTAAGATAGCAGTTTATAGGGCGGTTGTTTTGCCAAACCTTTTATATTCCTCTGAGTCTTGGTGTTTGCATCGGAGGGACATATGAAATATGGATAGATTCCATATTCAATGTCTCCGTAATATCATGGGTATACGTTGGCCCGATGGCCCGATGGCTCGATAAATTAATTTTATACATTAATTAGTCTTAATTTACAGTTTTTTTTTTAAGAACGTCGGTAACAAACAAGCACATAGGCCACCTAATGGCACGTGGATGCTGTTGCCCATAGACATCTACATTTATCGTCGACTAAGGATCAAAATGCGGATATGTTGTCACCCCTGAGGAAATGCCGCGATTCCAGTAAAAAGGGTTTTATACTGTTACTTTATACGGTTCTCTACGCTCACCATACGAGACACAACAACACTAAGTTGCTATTTTACGCTGGTCTTCTGTGAGACCTTTTTGACACTTTAGGGAAAAAGGGGTCAATCTCGGAATTTGAGATAAAGAGCTGGAAACTCGTGTACAGCTTCATTTTGGCGTTCTAAAAGTTGTCTCAAAAGTCTTATATTATCTCGTGTCTGCGTCGTAAGTTATTCGAGGTCAAAGGTCACGAAATAGGTTAGGTAGGTATATATACATATATATAGATTGTAAATAGAAAATATTATTAAATATTTGTATATCTTATTTTTCTATTATGATTATAACTGGGAAGGCGGACCTCTATTATATAACCTTTCACCAACAAGTGCAGCAGCTCATCAACACTTGTTTATTACCAAATTCAAAAATGGTTAGGACATGGTTTAGAACCTCAAGAATGGGGCTGGGTACTCCAAAATAAATTTCTGCAGCCAATAACTGCACTATTACCACCAGCTCCAGATGAATTACTCAGTACAATATTTTGTAATTGTAAGAATGGTTGTGTTTTACGCTGCGTATGCAGAAAATCGGGCTAACAATGCACTTAACTTGTGAACAATGCAATGGGCAAGCTTGCCTCAATGCTGTTGTATTGCAAGACGATCCTGAGGAAGAAACTGCATTTGATCCAGAAATTTTAGAAGGTTTGGAGACAGTGATGCAGGAAAACGAAGATGATGAAGATGAAATAAAAATTTCAATTTCCCAGGAGATGATGAAGAAGAAGAAGAAGAAAATTGATATTTTAAACTTCAGATTTGTGAAGAATTTAAATGTACATTTAATTTTAATTTTAATAGTAACAAAAGTACAGCGACTAAATAAAAGTTAAGAAGAGCGTGGTCCTTACCCGGTTGAGCCGATCCTTTTGTACTGCAATTATAACATAGCTGCAGCGTGGCTCCCCTCAGGCAATAAAATTTTGATAATTTTATTGCCTGGATGGGTGTTTTCTATAAAATATCGGAGTTGTTTCAACCTAGTTCCAAATTTCACAAGATGAGCGAAAAAATAATGCAGCTTTTTTACGGTATACGATCTGAATATATATAAAATCGTAAAAAATGTATCCAGAATAAGCTACCTAATAAGAACTTGCGGGACGGTCTGCGTAAGATACCACCTAGTTCTAAAAACCTTTTTATTGAGACGCAACTTCAGGGTACATACAAAGCACAGGTGGCATTGATAAATGGATTCGTCCTTAATTTAATCCAGAAAAATTGGTAACAAAACATGTAGCGTCTGCAACTAAACCATCCAATCATCCATCAGTGAGCTAATAGATCGCATGAGAGAGAGTCGAGACAGTGATACAATATAATAAGCAAATTTAATTCAAGCACCGTTAAGCAATTGAAATAATACTAGTTTTTACGGAATTTATCGCGTATATTTAACTTTTTAATACCCGACGTTTCGAGAGCTTTACAGCACCCATGGTCACGGGAAGGACTGAGATGTTCAACGTCCAGATGTCATAGTTAACCACGGTTACCATAGATTAAAATTTAACTTTTGTTCCGATCTACACAGTATGAACTTATGGTATCATGAAGTCTTGCAGTTGTATGCTTGGGTTGGGTTTTAATTTTATTTATTATAGGATCCCAAACAGATGGTAGCACCCAGCCATCTTCTCTATTGAAATTAGGATGTTTTTTGATTTCAATAGCCTCGCGAATCATCCTTGGAAGGAATCGGTGTTCTTTAACGAGGATTTGTGGTCTATCAAATCTGATGTAGTGACGGGGGCGATCCTATACATGTTCACAGACTGCAGACTTCCCGGAGCGTCGATTCTTCACATCAGCTATATGTTCTTTGACGCGGGTCAAAGTCCTTCCCGTGACCATGGGTGCTGTAAAGCTCTCGAAACGTCGGGTATTAAAAAGTTAAATATACGCGATAAATTCCGTAAAAACTAGTATTATTTCAATGTGTAGTGTTCGCGTAAATATAAGAAATCATTATGTAAACCGTTAAGCAATCTTTTTTTACGAAAATTAAAAATCTATCAGGAAGGAACCTCGGGAAAATAAGACAGTCAGACAAATGACTTACTGCCGAGCAAGCACGTCTTTTACAGGCGCTAACTTCGAACGTATCGGAGGCTATGGCAGTGACTTCGGGCTCTGGTGGCCCTTCTCGGAATAATCATGAGAATATGTCTGCCACTTACCTCCAGGCCTCTACTTCTTTAAGGACGCTTCAACGGTTCGAAACTATGCAATCGCTCGAGATAACAAAGCAAATTATTGCTCCGCCTAGGTGTACTTGAAGTACTGAATGAACATCATCTAGGTCCCAGCTTTTTCTCAACCATTTTTCTAACAAAGAAGAATAACAGAAGCGACAGACCCATATTCAACCCAAAACGACTGAATCAGTATATACTACCGAAAACTTCCAGATTATTATATCCCTTCCAAATTTCTTTCTTCTTTTAAAAGTCAGACCGGGTGGTGAAAATCAATCTATCTTCGGCATATTCCAAGGAAGCATTGCAAAATGTCTTCGACTGTTCCTGAAGCTAGTGCACAAAGGATAGGTCCTTCACCTTTTGTAAAGTAAGGGCAACATTAACCACTTCAAGACGAATGGTTCAAAAGAAAAGGATGTCCTTTAATAAAATTGAAAACATTTTAGGCTTTCTCAACTTTGCTTATTTTGAAGACCTGAGAGCTGAATTAGCAGCAGCTTTCGACGTTAGCATCAAAGCAATATTGGTCCTTGTGCATCAAATTGGCAAGGTAAAAAGCTTGAGAAAGGAGTCAGCGCGACGACACGTGCCTTGCACTGCTCAACAGGTGCACAAACGAAAGAATTATGAACCACATTGTTGACTGCGACGAAAAATGGATTCTAATTGACAATCGCAAGCACTCAGTAAATTGGCTGAATCCTGCTTCAGCACCTAAACACTTCCCTAAACTTATCCCTAGAAAAGTGATGGTCACTGTTTGGTGGTCTAGCGCCGGTGTGATTCATCACAGCTTCTAACCATACAGGATGAGCATTACTGCAGATATGTACTGAGAAGAACTGAACACAATTATGGAGAAGCTCGCGCCTCTCCAACCAGTTTTGGTCAATCGCTCGTCCCCGCTGCTCCCGCACGACAACGCGCGACCTCATACTGCAAAACAGACGGTCTCCAAGTTACAAAAGCTGGGTTTGAAAGCTCTCCGTCATCCGCCGTACTCACCACACCTTGCGCTTACGGACTTTTACTTTTTCCAGAATTCGGATAACTTTTTTTGCTGAAAAAAAATTCAATACCGAGAGGCAGTACAAAATTCTTCTAAAGAATTTGTTGCCTCCCGTGAAACGGATTTCTTCAAGAAGGGCATCATTAACTACAACAAAGATGCATCGATCATATGATTGATTACTTTGATCAATAGAAATAAAAATATAGAAAAAAATTTACGTGAACTTATTTCATAAAAAACGCCAATTTCGTATGTAAAGACCTCATTTATAGTTGTGTTAAACTTGAACTAATTATTATTATTCAGCATCAGCACACTTCTTCCAATACAATAAGTATTATGTCGCAGTGTATTTGCTGTAAATATCGAGAATACATACCGTATATAGTATGGCGATAGTGCTATGCATCAAACTAAACAAGCCCTTCATAATTTAATAGATAATGAAATTTTTATATGGAATATAATTCAATGTACTTACTGTTTATAAACTATCTAGAATCCAGTTATTTTAATTTTGTTAAAAAAAATTATGACGTTTTCGTTTCAGACTTTGTTCTCTTATTCAACAAGTTTTCAGCGTGACTTTATTCGTTCAATTTAGTATGGCTTCGTGTATAATTTGTGTATGTTTGTTCAGATTCACTATGGTAAGTAATTTCATTTAAATTTGTAAGTAATTTAAATAAAACACTTTTTTATATTATAGTGATACTAAATTTTTTTTAAATATTAGTAATCTTATTAATTAACATTACTAATATTCCTTTTAACCACTCCTGGTAAGTTTGAAACGCTTGTGTTAGGAGTGGTTCACGACAGTAGTCAAATGGCGGATTCGAACCCACGACCTTTTGAGTTATCGATCCGCGTCCTTTATTATGTCGCTACATTATATTACATTTTTCACTCACAAACATGCTAAAAGAAAAGTCCATTTTATGGTACTACTGCAACAAACTTCTGACAAAAAAAGCTATAGGTACATCGTCACTTGCCACTCGCGAAGAATGAAACTCCTCACATCCTGTAATTACTAGCTCTCTTATCCTTCACATCGAAATACAACAGTGATTACAGTTATACGGGGTAGAAGCACGCTGTATGGTTATCGTTGAAGCTTGAATACGTCTGCTCGATCGGGGTACGATCACGCTCTCACAGAATACCAGCGGAAAATAGCAGCTTAATGCTGTGTTTCCAGTGGCGGCCTAAGGCGGTGCGACCGTACCTGGTGCCGTCATCGGAGGGGCGCCGAAATCAACCAAAACGCTACCACCGGGCACTGGTCACCACTTCACTCACTCTTGTCACTAACATTCAGTTTTGTTGACGCTAATTAGGAAGTCAAAGCACGAGTATTTTGTTGCTTACAAGCCAGTAAGCAACTTTTCGGAAAAAGGACTTACTGGCCTCTTTCTTGATGTAATTGTACAAGTGTTTGACTTAGACATGAATAATTGTCGAGGTCAAGGGTATAAATGATGGTGGAAATATGGCAGCAAAATTAAAGGCTTTTTTTACGTTTAGGCTTTTTTAATTTTACCATAATTTGACTCTATATTCTCGGGCATTTTTCAATGCATCTCGTTGAAGTTATTAGAACTTAATTTGCTCATACCTGAAAAGCACATTCCAACCCCCCTCAATTGCATGCACTATCTCCGTAGCCACCACATTTGTCATCCTTATTATATTATCTCCTATACCTTTAAACGAGCAATTCTTGTATATATATATATATATATATATATATATATATATATATATATATATATATATATATATATACCTATCGGAAACGGCTTCAACGATTTTCATAAAATTTAGTATCCGGGAGTTTCGGGGGGTAATAAATCGATTTAGCTAGGGTTTATTTTTAGAAAATATGTTTTTGTCCGTATTTTCAGGCAATGAAAAACTGCTCCCATATAAAAAGGTAAATTTTGACATTATGTTAATAATCGTAATAGCTCAAGTGGAGAGCGAGCGGTCGCGAAATCGTAATACCTTGGTTCGCGTCCTGTCTTCGGTCCGATTTTTTTTCCTTTTTTTTTCAAGTTCCCTTCTTTTATGAGAAAATCTGTTATTTCGAGCACTTTTTTTGTATTTTTCAAAAATATGTAAATTTTAATTAAACTAATTGCACTCACGATTTTTTATTCCAATAACCAGTTTAGATTTTTTTATTATGTCAAAAAGATCAAAAAATATTATTCATCAGTATGTAGTTTGTATCTAAATGTAATTTCAAAAAAAACTGAGCAAAGCTCGGTCATCCGGGTACTATATATAAAAAAGTACACTGGCGATGGAAATAGATAAAAGAGTGGATGGTACGATAGTAAGAAAATGGTTTAGATTCACAATTGGACCCAGATATTACTCGTGCGAAGCCATAGCAGATCGTTAATGTTATCTTATGTGATCAACTAGCCATGCATTTTTCATCCAACCCTTTTTATTATTTATTTATGAGATGTAAGAATAATGTTTATAGTAGAAATGTAATAAAAAAAATACGTGTGGCACTCGGTGACTGCCGCGGTAAAGCTATTGCATAGCATTTTTTATCAACTTATGCAATTATAATTATTTATTTATTTTATTTATGCAGTTAAGTCTTTGATATTAAATCAAGTTACACTTTTTGAGCGTGGTGACCGATAAGAAAACAATTTTTTTTCTCTTATTGAATAAATGAGAAGTTAATATTGTTTAAAATATTTTTAATATCTTACAATACATGTAGGTTATTCAGGAATTTTTATCATTGAGTTAGCAGCTAGTGTACGCATACGTCTAGTCGCACGCACACAAACACCGTGCCGAAGTCTGCCGAGTGCCGAAGTCTGCCGAACTGAAACGACGTTAGAAGATGCACGGCTTTCAACGCCACACCTCCGTGCTCGTCGCAGTGGGGAGCGTGAGGTTTTTTTCGTTACGGAATTTCTGGATTCGGTCCCCGCGTTCAAGGCCCGCGATAGAAGCTATGCAATAGCTTAAAAACTAATTGAACAAATAAATTTTATTAATTTGACTTTTTGCCGAGCGTGTGTGGTGATGCCAGCGGGGTTCTAAACCGACCTGCGCGAGCAATCATTGTGTAATTTAGAGCGTGCGCTTAACCACTGAGCTATCGCAATGGTCACTAACGAAAATAGAGCAAATAGTTCATTTACACATTGAAACTTAATGGTATTTTTTTTCTTTGCATTGCGTATGGAAAGGGAGTGAAATAATTTGCTAGCGTCTGTCTTTCTATTCCATTACAATCTCGGTGATTTCAAAGCAATAGTGAATGTGCCTTTGTAAATGCAATCTGCATTCTAGGGTTTCATTACCGCTCATTACCAGGTAGAATTAAGTGCAGTGAAGCAATAACTAATAATAAGTAACGAGTCCAATGGTTAAAATAGAAAGTTATTAACCCCGACTGTGTAAAAGGGTCACTAAAAAGAGAAAACATTTACACCCTATCTCACTTCCACAACTAAGTCAAATTTAACGACACTCCATATGTTCAATAACATCAAGCTGTTTCGGCTACAGAGCGTGCCCAAGAATACATACAAACACGCGTAAAACATTACCTCACTTCACGGGCAGTCGGGTAAAAAAACGAAACAAAACATCGCTGCTCTAACTTTTCTTCACATTCGAGTGCATCCCCGAGCGAGTATGGAATTACAGCGGAAATCTAAAAGCAGGTCAAAAACCAGTACTTGAAGTACTTCAGAAGGTCTCGAATTCTGTCCTACTTGGTGGGAATACTCCACAGGCGTGGAGCAGAATTGCGGTGATCTTGTTCTTCAAGAAAAGTGATTAAGCTCTCTTGACGAACTAGATACCGATTTCTCTTCTGAAGTTCGCCTATGTGCTGTTTTCAAAAGGCATTATTACGAATCCTCTCGCGCACAGGCTCAACGACTTTTGACCTCG